ATAAATGTTAAGGGGTTGCCCAATCTCCTGTAGCCAATTACAGTAGAACAGAGGAAAACAGGTTTTTCAAGCCTCATTTACAGGAAAGGATTGTTGCTAATGTTTTAATGTTTTTCTGTTGGATACCATCTCTTAATGACAGCCAGCAAATGCCTTTGCAAAACATCTGGGAGAATCATAGATGTCATTACTCAGCCTAACCAGTCATTGGTATGTCACAGCCATATGCTACATTATGTTTTCGCTGCTGTCTAAATAGTGATTTATGTCAGTTACTCTGAGTGTTAGTTCCTCTGACACTGCAGTTGATGAAACTTAACATAAAGCCGCATCCACTAACTTGCCAAGGATGAGTCACAGCTTATTTTATAGTCACCTCATTTACGCTGTGATTGTGTTGACAAAACGTAGGAAAGGGTGCATAGCATTTGGACTGAATTCTAATTTTGTATACCTTGTCTTGTGCTTTCCAGGCAGCACAAGCAATGCCTGACCCACATGGGAGCACACCAGCTCTACCACACTCATTTACATTACACTACAACCCAAACTCCTGAAAGCTACATAAATCACTCTGTCACTGCTAAGCTACTTGACCAATTCAACCGACTTAATTTTTGCCAGCTAATATTGTATAATGACATTGGTACAGAGCAATAATTCAAACCCACTGATCTGATACAATCATTCTGCCCCATAATTCACTGTGCTGAAAATGCAATTGTGTATGTAGACCAGCCAGACAATAGTTTCATCTCTGTGGCATCAGCACAGCTGGGTCAAACATGTTTATGTGTTTAAAATTCTGTGCACGCTAGCTGTGCATATACTAGTGCTGGTTTTAGAAATCATTATGTTTCAAAATCACACTATTAAACTCTGAAAGCCACTGTCACTCTGCCTCCCGTATTGCTTACAGACAAACTGTGCCATTGCCAGGCTTTGATGAACACCTGGAACAGGCGTCAGGTCTCTGTTTAGATGTTGGCTTGAAAAGGTCTGCTGCTGCAAAGGCATCATACACACCAGAGAATTTCACATGCTAAAACCAATGTGAAATCATGCATGACCTCTGGCTTCTATGTCTTTATTCATCCCACCTACTCTTTAGTGTCTCCAGGGTATTTTATAATGCCATGATGTACCGTAGCTTGGTATATGGACTCAAGGATTTAGCAGTGTGATGCCAATAGACTAGTAGGGGAAAATATTATTCTTTTAAATAGTTGCTTTAATTGCTTTCCAACAGCTGAATATGAAGATGACAGAGATGACCTTTATCAGCTGGTGATCTTAGATTATCAGGGGTATGCTGTCTAATGCTTTTCCTTTCAACATGTTTAGCTCACTTTTGTGTATTGTATTCCAGGTTGTCTCGTAATTTATCAACTGCTTTTCATATGCAAGAAAAAGTAAGCAGTCATATATTTTGATTTACTGATTCACCCTATTTAGTAAGAAAACTTTGCAGTGCAGTGTGGTAAACATCAATAATTCACTATGTAGTACTATAAACGTTTTTTTTTGCCCTCATTCTACATCTCAAAATGGCCACGTGTAATGGAAATACTGTTCTTTATATGCTATAGGCTGTTATAGCTCTCACACTGCTCAGATGGAGCCTTCTAAGTGAGAAAGAGGAGAGAAACAAAAACTGCTCCTACAAGCAGTGCTTTCTTTTTTCAACCTATTCATTCTAAACAATTTGGAGAGGAAGTAGACACATTAAATTGCCAAATCAGTGTGCTGAAGGTCACGAGGAGTGACACATGAGGGAGGAATAGTAGAACACAAAGCAGGACACAACAACCACTAAACAAATGTCAATTTGTCAAATAGCACAGTGCTTTCAATGCAAGCAGTCCGATAAAGGCTTAGACCTAGAATGACAGTTTACAGTGTAATCTGAAGTTATAATGTGACAGTTCGACTCTGCAATGGCCATGAAATGCAAAGCATGTGCATGTTTATGTACTGTATATCATTTCATGTGCTCACCTCTGTCAGTGTATTGTGGAAAGCAAGTGCCTCTGGCAAGGCACAGAATCAATCCCAATAATGGTGCATCTTTCAGGTAGTGGAGTTTTTCTTATAACTTGAATCAAACACAAGCTCCACATCTCCACTTTAAGACATTCAATTTCCAGCTGATTCTTGGGGCAGAATTCTGCAGGGGACAATCAATGCAGAATGACTGGAAAATAGCTAATGTTATTTACGGTACATCAAAGTGAAACTGGAGGAGAGCAATTATACCAGTGATTCAAGACACTATTCCTAAGTGAGTTGTCCATTTGGGTAATAATATTTTTATATTAATATTATTCTAAAACCCACACAGAATTGATTTTAACAACACAATAAATAACATATCTACTGTACACATAGAATATTTGATATGTTATAGATGCTATAGTTAATATACTAGCGTTTTGAATAATTTATTTTGAGACTTACATTGTTATGGTGAAATCTTATAAACACAATTCTAGTATTTCACTTGTTAAGTCCAGAACATGCACAGACCCATCCAAATGTGGCAGATGGAGTTTACTGGTGTCTCAAGGAGCGAGTTGTGAGATGATTTGCTGCTGGGGAGAAATCATATTTTCACTTTGAGAGGACTGAAGCAGAAGGTTTGTACATTCTACAGTATGTACTGTATGTGGTGAAAGTGCATCTACATTAGAAAATCAACAACAACAGCATGCGTGTCAAATGGCAGCAACGTCTACAGAGGAACCAAGAAAATGACTGGACTTTTTCTGTATAAAACAGACAGACAGCAGTACAGTAACCAGAGTGTTTGTACCCACAGACTGATATTGCATGCACTTTGTTTCCCTTTGTGCCTGCATACGCAAGCGAGGCAGCAAATAGCCAGTCTCAAATGAAGCTCATTTCAATCAAGCCATTTCAAATCATGCGAGCTGATGGAAAGAGAACCGCCTTCAAAAGGCAATGGTGTATTCCCCATTCTGCAGACCAAAATAAGTATTTATTTAGTTGTAGTATGTGTATGCATTATTGTTACAAAGCTTCTGATGGTGAATGATATGTTTAAGAATTGATCTAAACAAGTTATATTACTACCACTTAATTTTATTCTGCTCTGCAAAAGTGTTAATTCATGTTAGCTCAGAGTAAGCTTTTACAACTACTGGGAAAATTACGCTTAATTTTATAAAATTATTGAAGCAAGTGGAATTCTTCTGTGTTTGTTATAAGAAAATAAGACAAAGCAAACGTCAAAGAGTGAACCTCTGTGGTTTAAAACACTTGACCAAGACTTCCAGGGTTTCAAAATGAAGTTGAGCGCTCCTATTGCTCTCTGCCTCTAGTCAATGTGACTAATGTAATGTGGTCTGTCAATATCTAATCATTTAGTCCATGAAGGACAGCTGTGGTACCTTTTGAAAAGTCCCATAACTTGATATTATTTTTTTTTTGCTCCCAGCACTTGCATTTGTCATTTATTTTACTTGTCATATGGCTGAAGCACTTTCGACTTTATATCAACTAGTGGAGCAGTTGTGATGTTAAAAGACAAATGAGTCATTTTAATATTTTTTTATGTTCAAAGCTGTCTCACTTGGCCAGTAAAACCAGATATTCTCAGTCAGTGTACATACAAATGTCAGCTACATAATATTGTACCTCTTTCTATGACTCCTACCTGTTGCACCCCCTGTAGCATCAGGCAGCCTCTGCTTCCTCTGCTGCAGAACAGTTATAGGGATGGAGGCAGAACACCTTCCCTTGTGCTTGAGCACAATTTCCAGCAGCTTGCTAATGTCAACCTGCCTAATATACACAGCGGGGTGGGGGCTCCAAGACAGCAGCAATTTTCCACTGCATGTGAATGAGACTAGAGAGCAATCTGCTGGCCTAAGAGCCTCATAATCAGCACATCATTATCAGGAGGGGGTTGGTGCATGGGGTGACAGTGGGACGAGGAGAGAGAAAATAAAAGGAGGGAGCAATGGATGACATCAAATGAGCCCCTGGCTGCAATGAGACATTGTACGACATATGGAAGAAAAGGAAGCTGGTATTTCTGGAGTTAAGAGCAGTGGAAGGGATTCACTGGGAGTATACTGTACAAAGCACAGCATAAAAGGAATTGAGGTGAGGCGGCATCCCATAGGAAGAGAGTACCACCTCCATCTATACTTCAGCTAGGCCCTTTGATAAGCAGTGTCAGGTTATATTACTGCTGGTGTTCAAAACTCATAATCTAATGGCACACATACAAAAATATATACTGTATATTTTTAAGGCAGAAGTGTGGTGAGAGGTCTTTGAAGCTTACCTTATCATGAATATGTTTTGAGTGAGTTCAAAAGGAGCAAGGACAGAAAAGATGATACAGCAGATAGACACTTCGTCTGTTTTCAGAAGTGCCTACCATTTCTGGGAGCTCAAACTTGCATTTTATCTTTTGTTTGCTGATAGAGTAAGCATCATGATGGGCTGAGCTTTCAGATGGTAACAGTCTGCCATTCTACTTGATCTAATAATTCCTAGATTGCAGGAAAATGGTCAGGTGTAAGTTATTTTTTATGGTAGTCTGTGTAATGGTTTGGCTGCTTTGCTTTGAATCACACGGAGCCAGGGGGCAAAGCAGAATAAACAGATTTACTGAACTGGGCTCATACCACTTGAATTTAGTACTAGTTAAAGCTTTATTCATAGCATCAAAAACATCCAAAGCAACTATTTGGAAAGATTTAGTTGTCATTGGGTAGCTCTGAAATGCAGGCTTTTGGTTTTAATGTGTCAACAATCAATCATACCTGTCCAAATAAATATTTCTTTCCACTTTCTGCCGCGTGGTGGCAATAGCGTACAGAGCACTTGGACTGGCATTGCGTGGCTGTGCGCACAGCTATTGTCTATATGTGATCAGTTCATAAAAACACGGCCTGAATGTATAGTCCGCGACCACCCTTACTGACAATTCAAAAGAACAAGAGAAGTCGTTTTTCCAGCGCAGGGTAACCTCTTTTAACCTCTTTTTAAAGGTGAACCGAGTATTAGCACTTTAGAACAACACACACTGGGACTAACAGTGCAACCTTTGGAGTGGCTGGATTTGTTGAAGTGCCTTGCTCAAGGACAGTTGCTGAGGAAACATATCTACGTAGGATACATAATCTTTGTTCATCAGATGTGACTAACAAATTGCGAGTTAGGCAAAAGCTGTCACCTGTACACCACGCGAACAGTCACTATCTCGTCATTGTTAATTTTTATTTCACTCACTTCTCTGTGATACATTCAAAGGCTATTCGGAGCCGTTAGAAGATGATATAATATTCCATATCGCACATTTGACAGTCGAGCAAATTCAACTGGACTGACTCCGCCTTGCTCATGCGGGACTTGCCCACGGGCTTTTCATAGTACCACGGTGTGTTTGTCTGCAGGCTTGGTGCTCTCTGACGGTGTGAGCTCTCTCCACACTACACCAGTCACTCTCCCACATCACCAGTGAGGAACTGCACTCTGACGCACAGGACCAGCAGCATCTAAGACTCTTCCCGGGAGTGTGTGGCCACCGAGCAACATGTTACCAGCGTGGAGACGGGGATGGCGCACCGGGGGCTCGACGGTGGCACAGCGGACCATGGTTAAAACAGTGCGGACTGGAGAGGTCGGACAGAGGTGGGTCTCCTGTTGGATTCTGCTGTCGGCGACTTGTATCGTCAGCGCTCAGGCTCAAGGTAAGATGGGCAACTCAGATTTTTTGTTGCCTTAGTGTAGCTATTGTTGTTGTTGGAGCGCACACGAAAGTCTGTGGTACAGTGCTGGGCAAACAGAACCTCTTCCAAAATTATATGTTTGTAAAGATCAGTTCATATAGCCAAGCGTAGACCATAGCACAATGTCTCACACACACAATTAGTAATATGTTATTAAACTCGTTAATTGTAAAATTCATTTCCAAAAGCAGCAGCCTGTGTAAACTGTTGTTTTCACCTCCACCACATTCCCCACTAACCACAAGGCCACTTGCGCGGTCCAGATGCTCAAGAGGCAAAGCCTGCCTCTGCAAAACTGGACATGACTATGACAAATGCTGGGTGGTTTAAATGAACCTGTATTTGTGACCAAATTATAATGCATCAGCAGTCCAATAGTTATTATAACACAGTATATAGCTCCAAAGAATTTGGACTCTGTCTTTAGATATTTTAGATGCCGCATTTCCACAGTCATATTATTATATTTAATGTTTTACAGTTTGTGCTAAAGCTTGGGATTAATACTTACTTTTGCAAGGGCCCATAATACCTGTAAAAAATAAAATTAAAAGAAGCATATATTCAATATTTAATGAAATCTGTGGTGGATGTGCTGAGAAACCACACAGTAAATTGTTTCACTGCTTGTAGACTGAGCCACCCCTCCTGTCTATAGGCCACCTTAATAGCTTAGAGACAGTCATTAACTTGTATGAATATGACTGTGGGACAACGAAGCAGGGCCATTATTTGTAGGTATTACATTTGCCTAATGTAAGTTTGCACTCTTACAGGCTCTGTGAAAGTAATGTGCATTGAACAGAATGTTGAGCATAGTCAATGATTTGTGAATAAAAGTGTGAACATGAGCCACACTAATGGCAGAGTTATTGTGAAGTCATATGGCTCATCACTTGTCATCTGTCACTGGATGACCTGTACCACTTGACCGTTGGGAAGGTACTGTAAATGCTAGATAGTGACAGAAAGACAGCAAGAGAACAAATCTGATATTTTATAATTGGAAAATCACAACTGCCAGTTGTCACCAGAAATGAAGGTAAGTTGACAAAGGACAAGCCATATCCTGTGGGTTTACTGAGCTGTGAATTTCATCATCAGCCCTGATGTTTACATAACAGTAAATGGCTTTTAACCTTATCCTTCAATTAAACCACGGGGTTGTTTTTCCCTATAAAGATACATGCAGAACAAAAAGAAAGATACGTACTTTGACATGCTTCCACTGCAAAAAAAGGAGATTCTTGCAGAAAGTCTCTTCTTTATGAAGTCCCCATCTTATAAGCACAATGCTCAATACACCAAAATGCTAAAAACAGCATAATCCTTTTGCTTGTTTGTCTTTGAACAGGTTGCATTGCTCAAAGTGTTCGCACCCTTATCTGAAATGAGACTCAGGCGTCTCTTATTATGCAGGGCACAGTTCCTCTGGCTGTTATTACCACCCTTTTCTTGAGCTAACATGCCTGGAGTCTGTGAGGATCTGTTGAACGCTTCCAGGCTACTTCACAGGGCTTTACCTTTCCTTCCCAAATAGACCACTTTCTCATTCTTGCAGTTGGTATTCAGACCCCTTGAATGTTCCCGGCTGTGCATTAGCATTGGTGAGAGATTCACTCCATGGTCTGCCTGCTCTTTCAGTTGAGAAGGACCTCCTCTGTACTGCTGCTTTGGGTTCTTTAGTGCAGACACAGTTGTAGTTTTTGAAGGGGTCTTCTCACCATCCAGAGAAGTCTTGCTCTTCTGAGAAAGGAAGCAGTTCTCATCACCATGGGGCACCCATGTTTGCAAAGAACTGGCAGTGCAGTGCGTCTGTGCCTTCACATAGAGTTAAAGATGTTGTATTCATTCCCTGAATGCGAAGGACCTCTGAGACTGTCATAAATCAGGCAACACACAAGCACACGAGGCCCCCAGGGAACCTGAGGTGGCATGTACCTGTTTTTCAGCAGGCTCCTACTCAGGCTTCTGCTGTGTTTAATACTGTTGGCCTCTCCAGTGCACAAGAGAATACCTAATAGAGTCCATGGGGGAACCCTTCTGTTGCCACAGGGTTCATTCAGCAGGGCAGTTTAAAACTCATTTAAATGCCCTCACTAAAATACCACATAAATAGGTGTGAGGTTTTGCCATTCATCACCTCCTAGCGGTCTCTGAATCAATCTCCTCACCCCTCCTCAAAGCCTTTGCTGCTAGTGTCTACCCTTGTGTCTTGCGAGTGGCTTTCTATGCGCATCTTGCTTTGTGGGTCTGTAAAAGTGTGAGCGTGTGCTTGCTGGTGCTTATGTTCCTGTCTATTGAGCTTTAATCTAGATAGCAGCACTGACATTCAGCCAACCAGCAGCTGCTATAATTTTCTGGACGTACGTTATGCAGCTTGACAGCTGTCAGCCATTCCCAAATCTTTAAATCTTATGATAATCCACCATGCTTACAAAAAAAGCATTTGTTTAAAACACTCTGAATCCTTGTGTAATTAAAACTCCCTGCTCTAATGTGGGTACCAGATCATAATTCATCAGTGGCACACTAACACATGCACATGCAAACAGCCACAGAAAGATAGAAAAATCAATGTGCGCAAGATGACAAAACTCCATCAAGATAAATATAATACAGTTTTAATAGGATCAAAGGCATCTCCTAGTTCCAACAATGACTGATGACAAACCTGCTCATCTGCGCCCACATGTGCAGCATTCTGTCACAAATAATAGAAAGCTGTATCTGTTTTGCTTGTAGCTCCACAAAAGTACACAAACATACTCACATTGATGCCACATTGACTTCAGACATCTGATTTTAAACATGATGCTAAATCCTGAGCTATATGTGATGTAATCATTGCATATGCCTAAACTTCAAGCACTTTAATCACGTCATAAGTCCCATTTGGTTCATAGTGATGTGGGAGTGGTGGTGGGAGTGCTGTAACTTTTCAGGTGCCATACCATAATTACACACGGTACATATTTATGACATATGCATTCCCATTTTTGCCGAAATGTAGTTAATTAAACATGTTTACTATCCTAGAGTGCTAACAGATGTCTGCTGAAATTTGGACTAAATGCTTGTTTTCTTCTGTGTGTGGCTCATACCCAAAACGACCAGCTAGTGGCTTGCACAGCCTCAGGTAAAACACAGTGGCAGCCTGACTTCCAAATCAGACTCCTTGTGTGTCTTCGGCACCTGCCTCCCATGTCTGACTGGTTGGCAGATTTTTCTCTGGCTGCCAAATGCTGTCTACACATGTTTATTCATGTTGCCACAGGATGCTGTATTCACCAAGATGGAACGTATTACAAGTGAATTAGGGGGAAAGAATCTGCTCTCACTGGCAGAAACTTTGGAAATAAAAAAAAACAACCCTTTTTAAAATAAAGGTAATGTTTCAGAGAAGAATGAAAATGCCTCAACCATGTTTAAGGGTGACAAATGATTACAATCTACTTTATTGTTGAAGAACAATGGGGGCGCTGTGCCGTCAATGTTTATTTTATTTTATTTTTTTAGCTTCAGGAGGGATTTAATTGGCTCAGTCAAGCAGCAAAACTGTGTTTATAGTACATAATGGAAATGTAATCAAATTAACTTGTACCGTAGGGTTTTGGCATTCACCCCTTGACAAGTAATTGCCCTTTGCCCAAAGGGCTATGGTAATGGTTACTTCCACTAGGCTATGGAGTCCTATCTCCCACCATGAGGCTGTCATGCTGCCATAGTAGGGTGGCTGGCTGAAATGTTTTTTTTTTACTATGCAGGGTTTTTTTTATGCTTCACTAATTGTTAACACATAGATCTTATTACTATGATGTTTCAACATTTATTGGATAAAACAGGTACACGGTAACCTGGACTGTATTTCGACAATAGTCTGGACAATATAAGGTAGAATGCAACCTGTGGGGGTGCATTCTTAACCCTACAAAATCATGTTCTGCAGTCTGTTTTTGCTTGCCCACAGAAGTCCTGCCTTATGGGTGAAAAATACAGTTTGGAAATGGTATAGGCTGCTCAAATTAAAAACGTCAATATTAGTAGCACTGACTGAGGAGGCACGTCCTTCTTTTGGGGCCAGTTTTAATCACATAGCTGAGAGTGGTTTTGTTTCCATGCCTCCTTGTTTACTGATGAGACTGAGGGGAGAAGCGCCGCAGGGGGGAACAGACAAATTCTTCACATATTAATTCTTTTGGCTAAAAGTCTAATCAATCTGACATGGGACTGGGAGGAACCTCTTCAGCTATCAAGAAATAAATAAATAAATAAAAAGAAACGTTTCAAAACAAGCCCAGGGCTGGGATAGAAATTAAAAGAGGAAATGACCTTGGACATAGGGAAAGGGATGCAAAGTGGCACTATTTGTTTAATTTTTTATTATCATTTTGACAAGGGAGCAAAGATGTCATACATGTTGCTTTAACAAAGTGCTATTCCAGGGAGTCGTTCGAGAAGCCCTCAAAATGGTGTCATTACTTTCATCCAGGGAAAAGAGGGATTGTACTGAGGCAGCATTCTTGGACTATACATCTGTCTTAAAGCCCCTAAGCTGTTCCATGTAAACATTTAAACAACACAAAGGCGACTCAAGGAAAACTGTTGTAAGAAACAATGCATTTTACAGCATAATGTGTGCTCTGAATCTTTCCTCTCATTCAGCTTGCCCCTCCTGGGGACTAGTGAGTGTATTCTTGTGTTGTGAATAAAATGGTAAAAGAGAAAGAAATAGAGAAATGGAAGAGAAACTGTGGGGTGGAGGTGGCAGGCCCATGTTTTTTCTCCTTCTCCTCATGAAAACAACTGGTGTTACCAGTACTTTTTTTTTTTATACATGCACATGAATGAATTCACATCTTAACATTCTGCTCCATTCTTTTGCTATCCTCCAACCAATCCTGCCATGACACTTGTTCCCCTGTAGTTCCCTACCACCAACAGCAAGATTCCCTATAGTA